GTTTAGGGTTTAGGGTTTTGGGCCCCGCAAAGGTACAACGACAATGAGGACTGAGCGGAAGCTCACGATTGTCTGCTTGAGCACTTTTCTTGGTGCCACTCAGCCTTGGCAGTTCCACCAGCATATTCCTAGGCCGTACATCCTCATAGGTCGTACATCCTCAGGGTTTATAGGTTTAGGGTTTAGGGTTAAACATCACACAACCTTGATGCCCAAAGCCCTTCACCTACGTAGCCATTTCAATCATGCACTCAAGCCCTACGCTCTTGAAATCCGAAACCCGAAGCTCTACGTACGTAGGGGTGAGGGTTTAGGGTTTAGGGTTTAGGGTGAGGGCTACAACCGGTCTCATTGGGCCGCCGTGTGGTTGAAAGCGTCAGCCTGCTCCACGCAACCGAAATTAAAGCTGTTATACTGCATATAGGGTCTTGGGTCCTATTATTATGGCGATTTATACCTAGGGACTATAGGGCGGGGGTAAGATCATATTAACTTGGGTCAGATAGCTATAATTACAGAGAGTTACATAACGACCACAGGCAGGGGGGCATAAGATTGTACTAACTATTCAGGATTTTTAAGTCCATAAGATACACAGTTTTGATCCCTAAACCCTAAACCCTAAACACTAACCCTAAACCCTAAACCACTAAGATGTCTGCATCTTGCTGCTTCCGTGGTCGCAGAGTCACAGGGGATCAGGGAAGCTCGGTTTAGGGTTTGGGGTTTAGGGTTTAGGGTTTAGGGTTCAGGGTTTAGGGTTTAGGGTTTAGGGTTTTTTTGAACGACCGACAGTCTTTGGGTGATGGCAACCTCCGTAACTCGAAACTGGCAGTCCTCTGCCTGAACCCGTTAAGGGTTTAGGGTGTTGGGTTTAGGGTTTTATGGGTTAGGGTTTAGGGTTTTGGGTTTAGGGTTTTATGGGTTAGGGTTTAGGGTTTTGGGTTTGGGGTTGTGTGGGTTATAAGGCCCCCGAATGAGTCTGGAACTGGGAATTACCTAGTCAGAGCTCCCACTACGGTACCATACTAGACAGAACGCGGGTCCTGTTTTGGAACCCATGGCACTTGCCCCAACTCCAAAAACTCTAGTTTCCTGACAGACGAGATCCTGAAATAATTCAACCTGAAGCCCTTAACCCTAAAGTGTTAAACCCCCCATACACCCTAAACCCTAAACACTAAACTGTTAAACCCTCAAGCCCTAAACCCTAAGCCCAGCCCTACATCCTTAGTTGACCTGCTTGGCTGGTTGTGGTGGTGCCAGAGCTTGCGAAGAACATTCCGAGGGATCAGGAGGAAGCCGTGCGTAAGGGGTTGCGGCTCCAGAACCCTGAGGTTGAGGTTCAATTAAGGTTTGAACATTGGGTTTAGGGTTTCGGGTTTAGGGTTCAGGGGTTTAGGGTTTAGGGTTTAGGGTTTAGGGTTTAGGGGTTTAGGGTTTAGGGGTTTAGGGTGTAGGGTATAGGGGTTTNNTTAGGGTTTAGGGTTTAGGGAAAGAACAGTCTAGCGATGCATGAGCCTATGTAAACCATAGGGTCTGAAAGATTACTGCATAATACTATGCCCTAGGGTCCTGTGACCTAGTAGGGACTGTGTTCCATGATGACGAACAAGACCTTAAGGGCCCAACTGCCGTCAAGAACCTATGCCCTTACTGTGCGCCATATATGTATACTTGGCGAAAATCACATACTGCGAATGTGTACGGACTCTGGTGAACAGGTTCCGCAGAAAACCATCATGCCTAGTATGATATTTACATCACCGGCGAACTCGTAACCCTGAACCCCAAGGCGCGCAAAGCCGGTAGGTTTGGAGCACCCTGCTGCGGCTTCCTCCGGCTCACTCGTCCAACCTGTCAGAACACTGATCACTTCGATGGCCCCTCTGAGCTCAGCCAAGCCCTAAACTAAAAGGCTACTGTGAGTGTTGGAAAATCGCAACAATGTCCCCTGACAGTCCCTATATGGGGGGTTTCCGAAAATAGGGGACCCTAATATAGTACCCTAAATAATAGGTTCCTTACTATAAGGACCCTCAAATAAGGTACCCCCCCAATTTTCGGAAACTCCCATATGGTTACACTATAGTTGACACCGACCCTCCCCCTTCCAAAAAGCAAACACCCCAGTCGAACCAGCACGGTCCTATTATTTAAACTCGACGAAAGCCTGCAACGAGGATAAAGAAGGCACCTTAATAATTAGAATAGGGTTTCGGGGTATCTTATTCTATAAATGTAATAAGGACCCCCGCCCCCCCCTCACAAACAAAAAAAGAAAATCGCAAGGGGCCCTAGATTAAGGGTTTCGATTCCTGGGGTGAGCCAGGTTTTGGCGGGGTGAGCCAGGTTTTGGCTTTGGGCCCCATCCTCCGACGCGTTTGGTCTAGTCTATTGCTCATTCCTAGGTAGCCTTAGGGAGACCCCTTAAAGGGACGGTTTAGGGTTTAGGCGTCTACGGTTTAGGGTTTAGGTGTTTAGGGTTTAGGGTTTAGGGTTGCTCATTCCTAGGTAGCGTTACCCATAGGCCCCATAGTAGTTTCTTTTGGGGGTTCATATTTAGAATCCTATCAAGTACTCCCAAAACTGGGGTGTTGTTAGTGATATTGCTAGATTGTTGGTGTTTCTTGTATGGTGTAAACAGTTATGTTTTTGTTTGTTTAAAATTATGTTATTATTCATACTTAATGCGTTTGGTAATGCATGGGACTTGCTGTCATAATCAAGAAATTTAGGTCTCTTCTGTGCTTTGTGATTGAATCCATTTCGGCCGCGACTCAACCAGTTCAGAAATAAGACGAGGCATTCGAGGTCCACAACTTTAAGCTAGAAGCCGCGGGACTCGTGCCAAGTATGTTCATACATGATTCATACCTACATTCCAACATCATAACGATCTAGTTAGTTATCTTCTGAATACTACTAAAATAGTAAAACCCGAAATAAAATAGAGCAATGAGTTTGAAACACGACCGATGGAAGCAATGGATTTCAAGTGTGAATCGGCGGGCAGCTGCTTGGACGACTGATTTTCCTTGGCTAATCGTCACGCAGAATGGCCTGGGCTGCAGTGTGTGCAAAGCAGCAGGCGTGCAAAGCCCCTGGTCGCGGAGTCGTGCAGCGCAATTTGATACTTGTTGATGGCACTTAATCTGGCAGTCTGTTTTTCTACTCTTAAAGCACATCACGAATCGGGCTACCTCGGCTGTCCTGCATGTGCATAAGGTCTGTCCGAACAGATGCAATCTGCAGCATCATGCTGAAAGCCGCGTTCATCGTTTGGCAGCCCTATCACAAGATGAGGATGGGTTTGCTATACTTGATGGCTTCCGTGTGACAAACCTGCAATTAAATTTAATTGCATCTAACAGCATGGCAGATGCTGCCTTGGCAAGATGGGGCTCACAATCAAGGTTCCAGGAGCAAAGGCGTTTCAGACACTCCTTCAGAAACTGGATGATGGTGATTACTCGTGCCCTGTGGCAGATGTGACTGGGCATAATGAGTTTGGAGTTCAATGAGCCTCAGTTCCTTTTCTATTTTCCAAGGCTGGGTTTGGTCGTTACAAGAAGCGATGTCTTCTAGCTTGCTTGGGCGAGGCAGCCCGCAAGCTGACGATCCTTTGGTTGAGTCTTGACTATTCATTGCTCAGAGACCGCGTGCGTGCGGCTACTCTGTCATCATCTCCTGACTGAGGGATGAAGCGGAGAGCATATCCATCCAGCAGGACGTGTCAAAGGGCTGGCTGGTGGTGCGGTATGTGGCCGCAAACTGTAAGCTGGAACATCGCTCTGGCTTCTTGGGAGCTTCGCACGTCGCTAAAGAGCAAAGCCATGTGCATGCATTGGCATTGCGAGCAGCGACTGAAAAGCTCCTCTCGGAAGTAGGCTGTCCGGACGGCACAATGCCACTGACGCGTGTTGGGCGAACTCAGTTGACAAAGGCTCTGCCCAGAATGCTGCCGAAGATAGAAGCAATGGTTGCGGACGGTGCGTCCGATGAGCAGTTGGCCCTGAACTTCATGTTTGGTGGAGACCGGGTTGTCCTGTGCTGTATGTTTCTTTCTGAGTTTTATCTCTAATAGTAAGGAAACATGACTTCGTTTTGGAGACTACTCGGCACCCTAACAATCAAAAAAATAAACTGAGTCAAGGAGACAAGTTTACGAGTCTCAAGATCACAACGCGTGACGTGGCGCATTGCATGAGACGGGTAGCGTCTCGAACCAGTTTTGCGGATGCTTACCTGAAAAAAACGAGCCCTGATTGCATCAATTATCAATGCACAAACAACGTTTTTTAGTATTCTAGATTACTAACTACTTCGGATCACCCAGGATGGATCTCTTTGTGCGCTCGCGGTATTCGCCATGCCAGATCATATCCAACAGCGAGATCTTCAAGGCTGCCACAATTTCAGCTTTAAGGCTTAGGTAGCCTAGGCAGGGTCAAGGGTTTTGCTATGGGGTGGGGGCTATTCTATTGCAAGAGCTGCATGTTGAACGGGTAGACTGCCTTCAACATTATTAACTTAAGGGCCGAGGGTTTAGTATGTTGTTGTTTTGTAAGGGCAGTACCATTTCAACCCTGAACCCTAGACCCTGCTCTTAACTTTAACTTCTCCTGATTAAGGTTTGGGGTTTTGGGTTTCGGAGTATGGCTCAGGGCAGCATCAGGTTTGAGGGCTAAGGTGTTTGAATGGGGCTTGGGGTTAAGGGTTCATGGTTTGGGTTGGGGGCTTAAGGGCACTACCACAATTTAAACCTTTATACCCTAAACCACTCAGCCGCAGCCCGCGGCAGCCGCGGCGAAGTCTTCTCCGGCCTGGAAAGGGCATGACAACCTTGAGCCCTTAACCTTTTATTAAATGTACTAATCCTCCACGAACCCCCAAAAACACCACTCAACAGCCTAGAAAGGGAATCTCTGCTGATCTGTCTGTGTGAAGCCCCCAAACCCTGGCTATTGAACCCTTTCAAACCTATATTTGCACCCTGAAGCTTGAATCCTCATTGCTTTCCTTATTAGGCCCGCTTTGTGAGCCTCCTCCAGCACGACGGCGTGGGCATTGCATCCCTGAGTGCTGCAAAGCACAGGCTGCTTGGTGGCTGAAAATCTTCAGGAGGACAGCTTCAAGTCAAGAAATAAATTCGCGGCAGGTACGAGTCACTACGAACACCCCTGGGACGCACAGTGCGTCATTTTCCTGCTATCATGATGCTGGTTGAGCAAGTAGCAGAGGAAAGGAGGAACAAGGCTCGCAACTGCTGCTTTTATGTTTTCACTGGGCAGCCCTTGAGCCCTATACCCAACCAACAAAACCCCAAGAAAACACTGAACCCTCAACTCCCAAAGTTTGAGAAGGTCGAGGGCCGGGCAATGGCGCATCTGCTATGTGCAGCAGACATTCGGATGGTCCTGTTTGGGGCTTGGATGTATGAGAGGGTGGTGACTGGAGGTGATTTTGATGTTTTGGTGTTGCCTTGCCATAATTCATGTCTCAGGACCTTGGCTGCCCTGGCCGATGCACATGATGAGCACATGCTCATTGTCAGGCTGGCTGACAAAGAGGATGTGGATGGCGTCATGTTTCAGGAAGAGCTTTTCCGGTAACTCAGATGATAAGATCGATTGGTGACTGGGGCATCTGGTCTGGTTGCATGAAGTGAGCACGGATCTCAGGTTTGTCTCCAGGATAACATTCTTATTCTCGCATGGGCGGTTATGGGACACACCTGGGACTTATGGTCACTACTTGAAGACTCTTGGGCAGCACTGCGCAGTTAGCATCCTTTGTCAATCCGTGCCTACGCCGATTCAAACATGCTCTTCAGGACCTTGCTGGAGAAGCAGCCACTTATTCTTCAGAAGGATGATGGACGGCTGAAGAAGCTGGGAGGACATGACCAATGCAATGGTATGGTGCTGCGGGAAATCTTGGCCCGCATGCATAACTGGGTTCAGCTTGTGAAAGACGTCATAAAAGCTGAACTACCTGCCTTTGAAGCCTTTGCTAGTATGTCTTCCCTCCTCCAGCTGAGCAAATCTGCTTCTTCTGAGAATGACGAGCCCCTGACAATGCGAGACTTGAAGAAGTCTGCTGAAAGTATGTCATCCCTTCTGAAGACAAACCCTGTTGCCTAGACTGAAGCAGAAACCATGTCTTGGTTTTGACGGTATCTGTTAATTTGTGAATCCTTGAATCCCGGTTGTCAGAACAACATTCAAGGGTAGCTCGCATGCATATTTCTCTCCCAGGTCCGCCTTGTGGAGCAAGTCGCGGATGTGCGGCCGCTTGCTGCGGGCATCCACGAACGACGCGGTGTTCCTGTTGTCGAGGCATGGGCAGAAGCAGTGACTTGGCAGTTCAGGGTTAGGTTTTAAGGGCCACGGTCTTAGGATTTAACAGGGATTATTGGGGTGGATTCTAGGGTTTAGGGTTTCGGGTTTTAGGGTTTAGGGTTTAGGGTTAGTTACCAGGTTTGGGCATCGGGCTTTCAGGGTTTAGGCTTGATTTATTATTTATTATTATGACGTGACAATGACCTTGAATCACCAAAGGAGATTTGGCTCTTTGCGAGTTTACATGTGTTTTGGTGTGGGGGGGAGCGTCAAGCCCGAAGAATACTTAATTTGAATAAAACTTGGAGGGTTGATTCATGTTCTCGGGGTTTAGCGTGCTGTTGGGTTTCATTTTCAAGATGTGTTAAGGATTCAGGTGGGTCTGATGAGTTCGAGTTTAAATTATTAAAAGGCTGTAGGCTTAGAGTTTGGGGTTTGGGTGTCCAGCGAGGACTTATTCAAAGTTGAGGCTATACCTAGACCCCACAACTTTAGATCTTCGTCAACCTACCTAAAAATTAATTATTAAACTTAAATAATTAATAACCAGCTCGGTGTCATTTTTCAAGGGCTCTTAAGCGCGGACTTATTGAAAGTTGAGGGTTGTAATAATACTGTGATTTAATTTATTATTAAATAACCCAATTTATTCATAAGCATCTAAGCTTTAATTTAAGGCCGGGGTAGGGTCTGGGCTCGGGTCTAGCCATGCGTTCTCGGCGTTCTCGGTCCTCTCGATGTTGTTGTCCACATGTTTCGATATCGGACGGTGCCTCCGGCGGCCGTTGGGCACACCCTGGAGTCATCAGTCTACTCTGCCACCTGCGCACAGGGCGTGTCGTGGCGCACGACAGGACGGCGGGGCTCCTCAACCGTCTTCTGGCCCTGAGGGCTTCACATTGATACGACGACAGAATCTCCGAATTCTGCAGCGGCTCAGGAAGTCCTGCGTAGCCATTCGGATCGTGAGCTGAACTTCTGCTCTTCAGAAAATCAGGTGTTGGA